AACCTGAAGAAATAGAAGATGAAATGGAAATTGACTTGAAAAGTTTCTTTGAAAAAGCCTATCATGGTAGTATAGATGTGGAAGACCTACATGTAAATACAGAAACAGTAACATTAGAAGTGGAAAACAATTTTGATAATTTTGATTAAGCTGAACAGTATGTAAAACACTACACTGAATTCAAAGGTTTTAAAATAAAAATGGGTTGAAACTCTGTAATAGATAATGCTGAAAGAGAAAGAGTTCAACGTAAAAGAACTATCTACTGTCAGTATTCTGGTCAATATCATTCTGTAAATCAAACAAAACTTGGAAAAACAATTAGACAGGGCTGTTAATAGCATGTCAACCTTTCAAGACCAATTAAAAAGAACCCAAGCTTTTGTGTTAATATAACAACACTAGTGGATAAACACAACTACAAAATATGCTCTGAAGCATTACAGTTCGAAAAACAAAAAATATTCACAAAGGAAATGAGAGGTGATATCAATTTTTATATAAATAAGTGTTGTTTTGGGGCAACTTTAATTTGGTGAATTCTCAAGCAAAAGTATCCTCTTCACCTAGTTCTTCAAAAGGATCTATATGCTGAAATTCAAAAGTATAAACCATCAGTACAATTTAATAAAAGTGATGCAGCATGCTTTTATAAAAAATTATTAGATAAACAGCGCCAAGATTCTTGATAGTTCATAGAAATAACTTGGGAAGCAAAAACAAATATATTTACTGGTCTCTTTTGAATGAGCCCAAATCAAATTTTGTTATAGTATGGATTTGGAGAAGCCATTGGCCATAATAATACAGCAGGAATAAATTGTTATCATATGTTACTGTCACTCGTTGTAGTTCTTGATAGTAATATGAAATCTCGAATAGCTGTGCAAGCACTAATTAGTAATGAAACTACTGAATCATACCAATAGACTTTACAAATGACCAAAAAAGCTATAATTATTACTGATAGTGACCTTGCAATGAGATATGCGATTATGACTGAATATCTGATGACTCAACATCTCCTTTGCATTTGGCACCTAAAAGAAAATATAAAAAAATGTTTTGTGGAAAGTTAGATTCACAATTTAATGAATTTTATTCTGCATTTTGGAAATATTGTAATAGTAATACTCCTGATCTTTTTAAGCATTACTGGAATGAACTAATTACAAACTACTCAGCTGCAAGACAATATCTTCAAATGCAACTGTATGAACGACGTAGGTCCTGGGCATGTGGATTTACAACAACTTTATTTATACTTGGAATTGAGACAACTTCATTTGTAGAAAGTCAAAACATATGCATAAAATATATTGTTAAAAGTAGTAATACTTCTTTATGTGAACTTAGTAAAGCTTTTATGGGTATTTCTAAAGATAGAATAAGACAGCAGCAATATAAAGATCAGATTAGATTAACGGTTAATAGTGTAATGATATTTTCAAAAATTGAAGCACTTGTAAGACACTACCTGTATTCAAATGTTGTACTATTTTTAGTTGATCAAATGAAAGAAAGCATTTTTTATACAGCTTATTGTTCAAATATTAATGAAGTTGAGAACATGCCAGAAAATGAATTATCTAATAGTAAAAATTTTGAAGATGAAAACGATAGTATATATATATATGCATATTTTCTTCTACAACATTTGAATCATGCCAATATTAATGAAGTCTAGAACATTTCTAGAATTACAAACAGCAACATAAATCACATAGTTTTTTGTTTTATCAATGGGTTATATATTTGTACTTGTTTGATGCAACAAAAGAAAGGGCTTGTTTGCCAATATTATTTTCATCTTTTAAATATTACTAAGGTGGCAAGATTTAATATGCAACTTATTAATATTAGATGGATTCCTCATGAACTTTGTGAAGATGCAGCAATTAAAGGTGATTATTTTGGGCAATGGTTTATTGATAGCACAGAGAATATAATGAATATAAGCGAACCAAATCAACATTTTAAATGGCTTCAACCTTTTAATGATATGAATATGCAAGATAGCACTGATGATAGTTTTATGGAAAAGCAGTTACTATATGGAAAAGTGTGAAGTTTAGTATGCAGTGCAATAGACAAATGCTTGTTGTATAATGATACAAAATTGTTAGTATTGTCAAAAATTATATAGCTAATGTGTATAAAAAAGAGGAGGAATTGGTTTAGCTCAACAAACAAATCAAAAAGGTGTACCAGATTTGGATAGCTCCAATAAAGAGAATATGCTTTTAAGTACTTCATTCAAAAATTCATTAAAGGTCACTACAAGAGGAAGTCCAAAATTTTCAAACTATCACAATAATAAGTATAATCAACTACCAACATATGAAGCAACAAATTATGTCAAGCAAAAGTATAATCAACCACCAACACATAAAACAGCAGTTAATATTAAACAAAAGCATTTAAATCAATATACAGGAGGATATTATATTATTGTGAACACTTTTTAAAAATTTGTATAAAGCCAAACAAATAGTATATTAAGCTAAAAATAAAATTATAAATTTATTAAATCT